AGTACTGTGTCCAGTTCTGGGCTCCCCAGTGCAAGAGAGACATGGAGCTCCTGGGGAGAGTCCAGCGGAGGGCTACGAAGACGATAAAACGCCTGCAGCGTGTCTCCCAAGAAGAAAGGCTAAGAGAGCTGGGCCTGTTCAGCCTGGAGAAGAGAAGACTGAGAGGGGATCTCCTCAATGTGTCCAAATGTCTGAAGGGAGGGTGTTGAGAGGATGGGGTCCGACTCTTCTCCGTGGTGCCCAGTGACAGGATGAGAGGCAACGGGCACAAACGGAAGCACAGGAAGTTCCATCTGAACCTGAGGAAAAACTTCTCCACTGTGAGGGTGACTGAGGCCTGGAGGAGGTTGCCCGGAGAGGTAGTGGAGTCTCCTTCCCTGGAGATCTTCAAAACCTGCCTGGACGTGATCCTGGGCAATGTGCTCTAGGTGTCCCTGCTTGAGGAGGGGTGTTGGACTAGATGATTTCCAGAGGTCCCTTCCAACCTCTATCATTCTGTGATTCTGCGAAACCATTCTGTGTTTCTGTGATTCTGTGAAATGCCTGTTCAAGAAAAAGCTGTTAACTTCATAGTCTTCGCCTGCATATTTTGTCAACATCTGAAAAAGCAAATTGCACTGACTTTGTCCTTAATTTCCTAACATCTGTGCCTAGCAGTTCCTTGTAATTTCTCATGTCATAATTCAATTTCTGCTTTTTATTTTAATCTTGTAAACATTCTTGCGGAGCTAATTCTCTTTTTACTTTCTCTTTCTGCTGAGCAGCCAAGTAGGAACAAATCCTGTATTTAGGAAATTCTGTCATCTTGGCAATAAACAGGAGGTGAAGCCAAATTTCCTTGCTATCACGTTTGCATTGCAAGTTCTGAACAAATCTGTTATTGCACTTCAAGTAATATTTTCACACCACAGATGCATTATTCCATTTAGCAGTTTTTCTGAACAACACAATATTTATATGGTAAAAGTATTCTATGATGAAGTCAGGGCTTTATGCAGTTACGGGGACAATCTATATGTGTCTGGAGATAACTGCTATTTCTGTTGGAGTTCCACCTGTATGTTTACCAATATACGAAACTTCTGAGTGCTTGCTCTGTGATCTGGGTAAGGAGAGACACATAGCTTTTCATGAAATTGTGGCTGGCACTTGGGACCATTATCTGACAAGATTTACCTACTTCACAAGATAAACGGTACTGCTTTTAAAAATGAGCCATTTTCCAGGTAGCTTTGAGTGTTGGTCTTCTAGTTG